CATTCGCTTGATACCTGGTAAAGGTATCTCTTCATCCTGCTGGCCACAATAACTGCAACGATTTCCCATTGTGGCAAATATGATTGAGGAGAATTTTAGAAGCGAGACAACTATGATCAGACTTTATGAGGGGTGTGAATTTTAAGCAACCTTCAAAATTCATCATGTTCTAACATAACAAGGTAAAAGTGTACATCGATCCAAGCAAAAGATTGAAGGCAGTAAAAGTAAAGAATGATTAACTTGATTTCTCAATAAGATACAGACGGATTCGTCTATCCCCTCAGATATTATCCATTTGAAACAGTATTGAATCATCTAACGGTGACTTTCCATAACCAGACCGTGACTTTGCACTCAGCTCTTTTCCCTCAACTTGCTGTGCCCACCTCTCTGGCATGATAGTCTTGAAGTCAAATGTACCCTTAGCACTTCTAACCACCTCTCCGCGCTCCGTAATGACTGCATCAATATACATACTTGGCGTAACATCAAAACTTGGATTCCAAACATCAATTTCTTGATGCGCAATTGCCACTCTGGCCGTGGTATTTACATCCACGTGACCGTCTTTTCCTACTACCGCTCCAGTAATTTGAGTGAGTTCGTTAGAAGCGCGGTCCTCAATTTTTATATATGCTCCAGAAACTGTCTCGAGATCTATACTTGTTGTGGGTGCTGCAACGATGAATTTTATATTGTGAGCCTTTGCGAGGACAGCAAGAGAATAAGTTCCTATTTTATTTGCAGTGTCACCGTTACGAGCGACGCGATCTGCACCCACTATGACAGCGGATATGTTTTTCCTCTCCTTCATGCGGGCAAAAAGAGCGCCAGCCATGGAATCAGCTATGAGTGTTGAGGGAATCTTTTCGTAGGCAAGTTCGAAGGCAGTAAGACGAGAGCCTTGGTTGTAGGGGCGAGTTTCAGTACAGTAGGCGTGTTCGAGGTAGTTCATTTTGTGCAGGCTGCGAATTATACCTAAAGCGGTACCATGGCCGGAAGTGGCTAGGGAGCTGGTGATGGTTATTATATTTTTTTTCTTCCGAGAAGTGGAAAAGCAGAAATGGTGAACGTACCCAGTATTGCAGTGCGTAAGAACACTCAACTTTCTATATGTCTTGTCCGGTGCCCCTTGTGTGCATGGAGGACTGGTGGTGAAATATTTTGAATGGTCCTCGCCAGCTTCCTCCCCTCCAATCGGCATTTGTTGCCGTCTTAGATATTCCGCTCCATACCTACCAATCGCCAAGTTGGTGGTAAGATCATCCTCTAGAATCTTCTCTGCCGCATCAATATATGCCTTTCGAACATCTGCACAAGCGCTACTGTCATCCTTTGCGTGTGTAGTTTCTGCCGAAGATTGAGAGACCCGCTTTAGGAGTTTGATGGCATTTGAGAGGTCGACTGCGGTTGGTCTACTAGCTAGGAGATAATCGAGACGTTGGTTGATATATTGGACGGTTTCTTGTTTCTTCTTAGAGCCTAGATTGTTTCAGGTTAGCGAATCATCACAGACCATCTCACGTAAATAATCCCTGGGAAGTACTACTAACCATCCTTCTTATGATGTAGCTCTACGGCCAGTGCAAGAGCTGCCACAATCGCGATTGCCGGGGCCCCTGATAAAGACTTAGCTATCAAAGCTCATCATGATCCCCGGACTGTTGGAAGAGCAGTATAGTATATACCTCTGACACGCATCGACCTGATGGAATCAAATGCCTCTTCGCAAGTGGAGACGTCATCATACACAAACTCATGTGGAAGTCTCAACTGATCCAAAACCTCCAATCTTCCTCTACCATACTTGATAGCTTCCAAACCAGCCATATCTTAAACCGCCTGGCGCTTTTTGTGATTCTATTGAGTTATGGATGCAGAACTGATATTGAACTGAAGAGGATGAAGACAGGAGATGGTGGAGAAGAGTGAGTATCTATATGTCGAGAAATCAACTTAGGCAATTTTGACGATGGGTGACGAAAGGATAAATAGAAAAAGGCAACATATTTACTTGATGCCCCGCCCCCGCTATGCCAAAAAAGGCGGTGAAGATGGCAGATGGCAGATGGCAGATGCTAAATCAACGGCGGGGGTGCGCGTAGAGAAAGGATCAATCCACTCCCCATATATATATATCTGATCTGATATTGGGCCAGCCAATCTACTCTACTCTAGTCTAATCTCCTTCTCTCAATCTATCTTCAACGGCTCTTCAACGTTAACCTCGCTTCTCATGATTTGTGATGTGCCCTCAAACATCCCTCAACAGCATGGCAAATCTTCTGATCTATTGAGCTCTGGTCTCATGATCTGGGCCGTTTTCTTCGTTGGAGTCTCGCTCGAAACAGTCATCTACATCAGAGATGTCATCGTTGTCCTGGACCTCGCCTGTCAACAACTCCGCCATCATACTTGCATCATGATCATCTGAGAGTGATGAGACATCCGAGACGGCTGAGTTTTGGTCATCGTTTGGGTCACAGTCATCCTCCGAGATCCCTTCAGCCATCCACTGCGCCTGCATTGACTTCGCGTTTGAATCCTGCACTATCTCAATGCTGTCCGATTTTGAGTCTCTTGAAGGGGTCATCTCCTCTTCCAAGTCCTCCCTGTGGTAACGGATGCATTGCGAATCAGATACAATGGTGTTGAGGTGTTCTCTGTAGGCTTCGCAACGGCTGACACCTTCGCCGGTGACAGATGGGAAGTTGGATTCACAGAGAATACCTTTCTCGACAATCGTCTTGATGTTGCCGCAGCTGGGGCACAACTCGACGGTGCAGATGAAGTTACACATGGTGTACTTGGTGGGTCGAGTGAGTGGTGGATAGTTCCAAGGTGAGATTTTGGGGTCGATCTAACGTTTCTCGAATAGTCCTCTAGCTGCGGTTGTTTGGTTGTTAATCGTTGGATTGATGATTGAGGACCTTGGCATGGATCTTGCCAGATTTATATCTCGGCGGGAAGTGCTGTCGGTTATATTCCCCCTCTCTCCTCTACTCGCTTCACACAATATCGAGGGTCTGAATGTCAAAATATCTCTAGACTTTCAACGCTCAAAAGATCAACTCTACACTTGAGAATAAATCGAACCTCCAGTCAAAGCTAAAAATATAGTTCTTTTTCTGAACAACGAAAGTTACGAACGAAACAGCATAAAGAAATCACACAAAGATCTTTGAGTAAGACTTCCAGAAGTTTCTTTCTCTTCCTTGTAGCTCGGAGACCTTGTCTAAGTCTTCCCTTTCTTTGTTGACTTCTAGCATAAGAGCTGCAGAGAACAACGGTATTGTTCACGTTCTGTACAAATCTTTTGCAAGTTCACTCAGCACACACAGGAGCAGCCTCACAGATAAGGAAAGGCCACGCGGTGTCATTCGTATGAAACCTACAACAGGCTCTCAAGAAACTTACAGTACGCCAAAGCACACATAAAGATAATCAGACAAAGCCTTAAGAAAACACCCACGACCACACAACACAAGCATGCATACCTCAGCTCCAACCTACCACGGCTGTGGCCACATAAGTAATCGCAGTCGTCATCCCATGAAGTCGAAGCCGCGGAATTATAAGCCGTGTGCAACATGCACAAGAATGGCAAAGGCGGAGGCAAAGGCAAAGGCGAAATGGAAGAAGGAAAAGGCAATTGAGATGAGGGATGCGATGTGGAGAGAATCCTTTTACACAAATGGAGGATGGAAGGTTGTCGATTGGTCGGGGGAAAGCAAACCACGTAGGGTTCCGAACAGTCCGCTCTGCAGTCCGAAAACGAGATGCTTTTGGTGAAACAAAACATACCCCTTTGGTATATTCGATGACTCTGGGGTGGAGAACTTGGTGGAGAACTTGATGGAGAGAGGATACTTTTTTTTTGATACTAGAAATTTTTAGCTACGAACTGTTTCTTCCGAGTTTTGATGCGTTCATCTGGAGATTTGAAGTGAAAATTCCCATCCTATTTCTGCATTGTTGAAAAAGCCTGACGAGTCCGTGGATGTGCCTGGGCATACATACAACTTGAAGATCTAAACCCAACGCGCCGATGTTTTTCCCTGGTGGCGCTTTCCACCCCTTGCAATGCACCAGGCACTCCCTACATCGTCTATTGAATAGAGCTTAAAACCCATCTCTCGGTATCGCTCATATGTATAGGCGCTACTGTATCTAGTGTGATGGTACTTTGGTGTTTCTTATGCAGTCACGGCATATCATCGTCGTCGTCGTTGTCGTCATAGTCGCTATTATCGCTGTTACCCTCGGGGAGATCTACCTCACGCCGACTGACGCCGTGTTGTAACGCAGGTGGGACAGAGATCGCAATGCAGACATGGGTTTCATCCATGATCAAAAGAAGGGAGTATGTGATCTTCCGAGCTTACAGTCTGCCAACGAAGCCTCGGTGCCGGGTCGGTCGGGAGAGGAGTGCCTGGAGGCTCCTGCTTGTGCAGGTAATTCATAGCCCCGATCGACCCCAGTAATATGTTTCTCTTCGCGGACGTAATAGAAATCAAAGAATTCTGCATGAGGTGGGAATGAAAAGCCCAACTCAGCCCGCCACGCGCTTGGTATCCTCGTACCCGGACCTGGCTCAATATTGCAGTGCACTTGCTTGGCTTGAAGGTCATGGTCGTTGAGATATCCTGTGGCAAGTACGTATCTGGGCCTCCTCGGAAGAGAGCTCTCAACATCTACCAAAAACCATGATGGCTAGAGAATATCTTCATCAGGTTTAATGATTCGCTGGAGAAGCCAACGACCAAGATAAGGAAGGCTATCCATCTTGAGCTCCAAACCTTTCATTTAAAGGAAATTCGACGATATCCAACAATCAACATCCAATACACAACAAAGTATATATATAACCTTGCGTTGATTGATTGATCAAGCACCAAATAAAGAAAATCAAAGTGTATACATACTCGCGCAGAAACACCAAAACCTCCCCCCCCTCCACCCCAAAAAAAAGAAAAAAAAAAAGAGATCTAACATGATGAATCTGCCCGGGATCGAACCGGGGGCCTTTTCCGTCTTGCAAACTTGGTTGACCAAATCTTGTAAAGGAAACGTGATAACCGCTACACTACAAATCCGAATGAATTTTGTTGGGGTGATGCGGCTTTTGATGAAATATATGTATTACAAAAAAGAATCTGGGGCGGTGGGGCCGGAGCGTGAAGAGGTTAGGTTGGTTGATGGGTGGATCTTGTGCTTGGACGAGTTGGGCATTTCATCTCATCTCATCTCATCGCAGGGCATTTATACGAGTCAATTGATCGCCAGACGAAGAATTTATTATTGATTATTAAGGTATGCGCATCAATTTCGTCATCTACTGAAGTGCATGCAAAAAACCCCCCCCTCCAATGTTCTCTTCTCCCATGAGATAGATATGCAGCATCATGATCCCAAACTCCATCCATAAACTAGCTATAGGTAGGTAGGTATGATCTAAACCCTCTACTCCTTAAACCCCCTCTCCCCCCCACCATCTTCCACACAACATAAAAGTATCTTTAGGGTTAGGGTTAACCATTCCTAAACCGTTGATCCTCCCCTCTCCGGTTTAATAAACTCATCAATATGAACTCGGCGAAAGAAAGAGATATGCCCAAAAGGTTCCCAGTACTGCGCCAACAAATCGTGAGATATCATGATGAGTTGCGTTTCAATGTATTTGGCTGCAAAATGGTCAGTGACAATCTCTATCAAAATTCCTCAAGGTCAAGCATACGATTCTGAAATCCTACATTGGCAATTTGACCGAGACTCTTGACAATTCGTGCACCAGGCCACGTCTTCTCCCCAAATCTGACGAACCCCTTTTCCCCAATATCATCAGCGATCCATGTAATCTCACCTCGAGGTACATTTGGATCTCCAGTCAATTTCACCGCGCGTAGAGAACCTTGGTAGATTCGTGCATGTTTTTTTCTCGCTTCCCACGCCTCAAGCGATTCATCTTCTTCTTGCTCTAATATATCTGACTGATCATATTTGAAAGGGCCATCTCGATGATCAATTAGGAGAAATTCTGTGCCATGACCCGAATAGTCCCCGACCTGTAGTTTTGAATTAGCAGTTGAAAAAAAGGTTTCAATCGAAAAATTGGCAACATGAGAGAGTGATTGGATGATCAAATTAATGTCAGCCAAATGGGTTCAGTACCCTACAATAGAATCGAGCGTATGAGATAAGTTTTAGAATCAACAATGTCTTAAATGCCGGGATATTTTGAACCATTAGAAAACTGGAAAGTCTTCTTTATGAAGGAGGAAAAATAATACAAGGTATTTTCAGACTTAATTGGATCAAGGACTTGTGAAAGAATGCTGGGAAGAGTGGGACATTGAGAACCTCGGTGGGAAAGGCTCATACGCGTCGAGATGAATCAAGAAAGAGGATACGAGATGAGACTAGACTTACAAATATACCTTGATAAGGGCTATACTCTGTCGGGGTATAGAACTTGGCGTCGAGTGTTGACCATGTTTGAACTTCATCTCCTATTCGTACCTGGCCATTCATATCCATCCATTGCCTAACTCGAAATGAGTGCTCATTTATTTGAGAACGATTTTCGGGTCGACCCCATCTATCTGTAGAGGACTGATCCGGGACAGTAGGGCGATCTACATAAGACTTTGCAGGTATATTTGGAGGTGGCCATTTATCCTTCAGCAACCTGCGGCTGGAGTTTTCAAGCCCTGTGGATCTTGCAAGCATGAATTTCGACTCAAGAACACGAACTTGAACACGGACAAGAGAAACATCCCCCCTCGTTGCGGGCATCGGTACCTCTCCCTTGAGTCTACGCTCAGCTTCACCCATGTGTGATAAAGATCGGTGAGAATATGCATCGAGATCCAATCGCCGAAACCACTGATACAAATGTACCCTTGGTTCAAAGCAATGAACGATAACTTTATTATCATCTCCCCAATAGAAAAACTGAGGTGCCTCCTTCTCCGCAACAAGTCTTTGTAACAAGATAGAGCCGGTCTTGGGGTCATATTTGGCAATGATTAACTGACCGAAACTGGGAACATCGGCGAACCATAGCTTGTTCTTCGGAAGAAACCAGTGAGGATCATGAGCTTTGTAAAGTTCCTTAAAAGATCGACATGGGGAAGGAGAATCAAGTTCAACACCGGGGACGTTTTCCTGTACGAGGTGTCGCCAAAGAGAATCGGTATTGGCTACCTTGGATAAAACATTGCATGTTTTGCCCAACTTTATCAAATCGCATGGCCTTAGATATGAAGAAATCTGATGAAGAAGCTCAGTAGGAAGGTGGGATAACTTGACCGTGGCTTCATTGAAAGACCTGATACCTAAAGATGAAAATTGTCCTTATCAGTTGACATTCTTCCAGATTGAATACAGCAATTGGAATCTATGCTGAACTGGAAGACTTTGTCATAGAATACCAAGCAAGCAAAACTCAACCGAGAAAAGAACATACCCGTAACTACGACGTTTTCACCGCGAGATGATTCTGGGGAGGGCGCTTCCAGTGAAGATAGGAAAGAGCCCGTGTCTGGAACTTCCACGCCCTCGACCAACTGTAGAGTTGACTCGAGGCCGGGATCCAAGCGACCATGCAAGTATCTTCCGTTATTCTCCATCTGATACTGATAGAGCTTTCATGAAGCGAAAGGAGATGTGTTTCTTCTCCTCTAAACGAAGCAGGAGCTCAAACTTGGAAGGTGGCTCGGGGTTCAAAAGAGGATGTTCTTGTGGTCATATCATACCAAGATAGAACCGCTGCAGTTTGGTGGAAAGCTGCTTGGGACAGTATCCTTCTTAAAGTCTTATTCGAGGGTGAGTGATATCTTGAGTGAATCGGTTGATGATACTCGCAAGCATTCCTCTTCTTGGGTGCTATGGCATATCTTTGAGAGGACAAAGATGGACTGGTGACGAATTGGAAATGAGCAAGTTTATTAGATTGAATTGCTCTTGTTCACTATATCGATGCCGTTGTGAAGGGTATGAATAGTGAGCCGTTGATGATGAGCTTCCTAATTAGGTTGACGTTGGGATATACTCCGATGGTAGTCGTTGTTTCAATTGCACGAGATAGACGAAATAATCATGTCAGAGCTTAAATTCATGCGGGTTATCTGTTAATATATCAAATATATATAAATCAACAAACAACAGAACAAACTGAGTATAATAAATGCTATTATTAGAATTATTAAAATATCATGTTGATTACTCTGTAGACACCAACCACAACCACAACCTCCAAACCAAACAAGAAAGCTCCGATATCGCCTCGAGCTCACTCACCACGTCCTCTGTAGATCCCCTCCCAAGCAACCCCTCGAACCGTGCCATCCCTAACCCTACTTCCAAACCTCCCTTTCCCCTGCCCGCCCCCATCTTCCCATCTCATCACGTCAACCCAGCCAGCATTGCAAATGCCAAAACTGTAATCGTGATATGGCACTTTGCCTCGTGGCAATACGAGGAGGTGGGGTGAGGGATAGCTATAGAGAGAAAGCTCAACCTTAAGTTGCACGAGGACTCCGTGGCACTGTGCGACTGTACCCGGAGGTTGGAAGGAGGAAGGGGTAAATGTTGCATGGAGTACAGTAAGACACCCAATGAAGCGTTGTTGTCACGATATGGTCACGTGAAACATACCTCACACTTGTATATACATACATAGTATTCATCAATTAAACTTCAACGTGAATTCGTATCAGGTAGCTGTAGCGCCTTGAGTAGATGCGATTCGATTCGATTCGTCATTCCAGTTAGATTAGCACCTACGTATGCTAAGATAAGGGGGGGGAAGGCCAATGATATTACCAGTAGAAGATTCCAGATGCCGATAATCGGATATAGAATTCGCGATCGAAAGCTACGGATGGGAATCCTTTCTTTCCCTTTCCTTTCTGGCGGCAAAGAGTTACTGACGTATACTTACTTAGTCTCTTCTTCTTCTTCGTCGTCGTCGTCGTGTAGCTTTCGCGTCGAGATTGAGGAGGTGACGTATACACCCCGAGATGCTTGCCCAATATGGTGCTCTGTAAACATGGGGTGGGGGTCCTAAGTATTGATAGAACAGGACTACTGACTGACGGTTATCTAGATCCTCATGGGGCATCCAAGGGGTGTTGTATATCAGTCTCAATCTTAAACATACTCGTGCTATCATATACGTAATCGCTAAACATAGCTATGCAGATCACTGCAAAGAATAGGTAAGTACTCGCTATACATATCATACACATCGATTGATAATGAGTCGAAGAAGGAGAAATGGTGAAGAAGTGTAAAGGGTGGTTGGTTTGCATAGATAGTAAGCGAGGAATTGGTATAAACAGCCTTGTTTTAATTTTGTCATTTTTGCCATCTCATATGCATCTATGCACTTTTCTTCCCGCCAAATGAGGTTTTCCATCCAGTGATCATTCTGTTAAAACATCTCGAATGAAAAGAAGCCCAAAAAAATACAAAAGAGGGAAAAGAAGAAACTCCATCACCCCATTCAAGACCAATAAAATCCCTCCTATGCACGCATGTTCACTTTTATATGCAAACTATCACCATTAATCCACATATCTAGGTCCATCATCCTGCCAATCTGCTGCTGGTGTCTCCGCTGCATATGCCCCGGGTGTGGGAGCTCCTGCATAATATCCTTGTCCCGGTGTAGGTGCATCCATAGCTTGAGGTGTTGGGGCACCCCAGTAAGCTGGAGCTGGGGTTGGCGCCGAATAAGCTCCGGGAGTTGGTGCATTCATGGCAGCTGGCGTGGGAGCGGAATATCCACCTGGTGTAGGAGCGTTCATAGCAGCTGGTGTAGGTGCCGATAAAGGACCACCAGGGGTTGGAGCATCGTAAGCCGATCCCCAATTGTTGTTATTAGATGGGCCAGAATTCCAATTGTCGTTGGAATTATTTGGTGGATAGGCTGGAGTCTTTGAACCCCATGAATCTCCGACATTACCACTAGCGCCATATGCGGGAGTTCTCGATCCATAATTATCAGACAGGCCATAAGCTGGAGTTTTAGCACCAGATGACCAAGCTGGAGTTCTATTGCCACCTCCATAGGCTGTTCGGCTACCGTCAT